CGTTTTCAACTTGGCGGAAAAATAAAGTCTCACTGACAGACAAACACGTTCGACTTGGAAATGTGAAAAAATGGTATCATTTACTAATTACCTTCACTCCGTATGGTGGCTCATCGAATGTAAATAACATTTACCTGTTGCCTCTACAAGTGGGGTCTCGGGCACGCAACTGTCAAAAAAAAAAAAAAAAAAGAAAACCAAAAACAGCATATATTATTTTTTTAACGATTTTTGTCAAGGAACCCTGAGTTCACCAAAGGTGGAAGCTTGCTGAAATATAAAAAAGTCCGGGTAGAATCCATCTTTACCTTCATAAAGATCTCAACCGCGCCTTTAGCAACGTCCAGATACGTCGTACCCAAATAAGTGCGCTGATTCATAGAAGCGGACGTGTCTAACAGAAAAACTAAAATAGGCATTTTAAATTGAAAGCCGCGGAGGGATGCTTTTCTAGAATAACTGCTACCCACATATGAGCTATCGTGCAGCCAAACAGTTTACTCATTTGTGCGTATATATTTGTTATAATAAGCCCACCCCAAGGCAGCGGGCCGATGCATCTGCCCTTTCTGTGTCTGCCTTTCTGAAGCTGCTTCTCTGCTCGCGCTGTTAAACTTCTGCTCCTAACCTAACGGAACCACCCCTCTTCCCACACTGCAATTCCATTGGCCGAGCCCCAGCGCTTTGACCACGCCCCCTGAGAACAGAAAGATATAAAAAGGTAGTAACGGTTACAACGCACGTTCGCACTCTGTGATTGATGGTCGGTGTCAATTAGCGGAACAAACCGTTGATAAAATATCTGATAGCTCATGTAATCCATCTTCATGGGCTGGGGGAAAGAAAAAGGAAAAACTATCGGTTGTATCTGTAAAAGAGGTCATAATGAGGTCCCACTTCATCCCGCCTCCTAGCAGCTGCTCTCTCACAATGTTGTCCTTCTTGTCCTGCCTTCACGGAGCTTCAGAAGGCTCGCAAATGCAACACGAGAGGAAAGTACATTCCGCCCCATGAACAAGACGTTAAAACCGTGTTAATATATTGAATTATATAATTATAAAGAGTAAAAGACGTACTCTTGTTTTGAAACAAAAAAAAAAAGAAAATATGTAAAAGGTCATCACTGGATGTTAAAATAGGTTAAAACATTAAACATTGGCTTACATCATCTTAACCAAATCCTGACTATAGAATTTAAAAATCCGTTTTCGTTTGGCTTGAATTGTAATTCTTGATTGAGCTTTATTTTTTTCTTAAGATAACTCACTTCTGCTTATTATTAGTCAGTAACAGTGGATCTAGGGTTAGGCTGTGTTATGTTTTTTTTAAACAATTGTGCATTTATCATAAAATAAGACTAAAAGCTTATTGCAAATTTAAGGCATAAACAAAAGCACAGCATCAAATGATTTGTTTTGCTGCTTCTCTACAACTGTAAAACAAAACAAATCTGTTGCATATAAACAATAAATAGTTATGCAGGCTAATAGATTAAAAAACAACCTCTCTCTGAGTATAATGAGACAGAGGGCAGATTTCAATAACATCGGATGTCGGTGGGGAGGAGGGTGGGTGTCCATAAATCTAGACGTAGCGTTATAAAATGATAAACACGTTCCTGCTGCCCTCCTCCGTCCCAGCATGCACCGCGCCGTCTGCAGCATAAAGGAAAAAGGGCTGAAGAGAAACAACAGGGTGGGATTACAGCAGACTGCTGTTTCTTCGGGTATTCCTCATCAAATCTAATGCGACAAGGTAACTTCAACCCGCTGTCATTTCCAAACACATCTGCGTTTTCTTCCCTGCTACGACACGGCTTCCGTCCAACATTTATTAGCTTAACAGTACGAAATATTCTAGCCGGTTTATGCTAGGCTAATAAACAGTGACATTATAATGCTGTAAAGATCTGTTTACATCGTGGCAAGGCCGATACTACAAATATTGAAATTAGTTTTAGTTTATAACCACCACGATTACATTATTTAAATAATATTTATAACTAAGACATTGTAGAAGATAGAATTGTATGCGCTTTTTTAGTCGATATTACGACTCTTTTTTTCTTTTCTTTTTTTGGTGTGGATAAATAGCGTCAATCGGGGGACATTAAAGTATTTAAATCAAAGACAAAAAGCCATGTATAGAAAAGATAACTCTCGGCCCATACGGTCGTGATTTTCTCGTTATAATTATCAGCAGCATAACAAAAAGTGTTGCGACATTAGCCTCGGCCCTACAGCTCTAACCATGTAACCATGTAAACAGACCGCGGGTCACGTGACCGCCCGCTTGGAGTCCACCTGTCTGAAGGGTTGATCTCTATAACAGGTATTTTATGTTTAATAGAGGTATATAAAGGGCTGTTGCTTGTGTTATGGTTACATTTGTTAAACTCACTATCTTGTGTCCTACTTTTTCTACGATATTCCTTCTAAAGTACACAGATAAAAATGACAGCAAATCATTCCCATGGTTTTCATGGGACATCTTGTCAGTTTTTATAGCAGGGGTCACCAATTAAAAATTATTGGGGTACGAATAAAGGGACATTTTTTTATTACAATCCGTTACTTTTAACAAAATTTAACACAGAAATAAAATTAGGTGTTCATGCGTCCATGTTATACATTGAATTTTTAAATAAAAAAAAATTAAATAAAGTAATTCCTGACTCTCATATATTATAAAACACCAGAACTAATCGTTTGTTATTTTTTCTTTTTTCTGGCTTAATGAGAGCAGTGGGCTTCCGTTTCCCCTATAAGGCTTTAAACCTTGGTTTGAATGGAGACAAAGCCATTCTAAAGCTATTCCAGGCTCATTCGTGAGCTTTTTTATTCCCAAATACTAAGACCGTTTGTTTAAATGATTGGATGCAAATTATTGGTACTTCAGCATTTCAGGAAGCAGATTTCTCATCTCCATCAAGATATTTATTTTATAGTGAGAGGCTTCAAAGTTTCATCAAATCCAGTCAAAGCGCCTAAGAGCGCCTCTCACAACTTCAAAAGACACTTCTCCTCTCAGGCCTGGATGAAGAGATGCTGAGTTTGGAAGCAGAGAACAAACATATTTCATATAAACCATGGATGAGCCTGATTATCTCTGTTACAAAAATTCACAACAAAACGGAAATATTTGGGCAGAAAGTGAACATATGCTGCCTGGATAATGGTGGGGATTTTTTAAATATGTTCTATTAAATTAAGCGTTCATTTCCGTATGTTTTGCTCCTGAATTTAATAATAATATAGCTCATGCTCTCCTTGAGCTCTGAGGAAGTCAGAGCAGAACAAGACGGGGGGAACAGCGGAGGCTGTAGGCTTTGCTTTGCGCAGGAGGTCTGAAGCGGAGCGGAGACGGAGGATGTGGGATTTCAGGATTAGACACTGTCGTCAGATTTCGGATGTGTTAATATGTAAAAAAAAAAAAAAAAATTTTCATGCATGATTAACTATTTTCCGGCCATTACTGATTCACAGTTTGATTTCTGATCTGATCCATTAACTAAATTTTTTAACAAACTAGATTTTATTTTCTTGGTAGAATTACACCACAGAAAACCAGACTAAATATTACATTTCAATCCCTAAAGTTCTTTTCAATAACTATCTATTTGAATTAAACAGAAACTTAAGGAATTAGTTAGGGGTACATGGACCAATTTCCTTCATTTTACACGATTAGCGATCAGTCTAAAAATGAGTCAATATCAACGCTCTAAACTTTTCATTTATATTGCAGAGCACTACCTAATGTACAGGTATAACAAGTCTGTATTTCTTCCCACTTGTATTCTGTGTTTTTCCCCCAGTAAGATAATTAAAAGATTATAACACCTGACAGTGTCAGTTCTAAAATAAATCAGTATAAGGAAATGGAACCCTCTTTTATTTCTATTATCAAAATATATGCTCATAAACCGTGTATATAACCACTTGAATAACACCAAAGAATAAATGATTCTTCAGGTTTTTGACCCTTTGAGAAAAAAAGGAATAAAAATGCATTTGAGATGCGTTTTTATGAGATAAAAGTTGCTCAAAAAATAAGATATTTGGTTGTAAGGTGCTGAGAATCACATCACAAATGATTGATTAATAATCAGTGACCTAGGAAGTGCATCAAATAGGCTTGTTTTTTTACAGTATTTGAAAAGATTTAGACAAACTTTTATTGTCGTTTTGTACACACAGAGTGTATAAAAAAAACAAAATTTAGTTTAGTCCAGCTTTTCAGACAGTAAATGAACATTTCCATTCCATAAAGTGCAGCAGTGATCAAATGTAAACGGTGTGGGAGAAAAGAACAAAAGAAAAGACACATATATATGGTGCAAATATGCAGTATTTTTGGTTTGCATATTTGCACCACATACATTAATGCTCTGAACTTCCATATTTATGCAGAGGACTTATTTCTTAACTCATATGGCTTTGTTTGTGTGTCTGCTTACAGGAACATGTCATGCCCTCTGAGGAGCTGAGAGCGGTGCCTTTTTGCATGCGTCGGGGGTTTGCAGAGTTTGAAAGTTCCTAGAGAAGCCTGGGGGGCCCGGTCAGAGAGCGGACAGGGACGGGGGCAGAGCTGAGCTGGAGCCAATGCAGCAGCAGCATCGACAGCCAGAGCTAGCGGAAGGAAACCTTCCAGTGTTTGTGTTCCCGACGGAGCTCGTCTTCTATGCAGATGAGCAGTCGTCTCATAAGCAGGTGCTCACCCTCTACAATCCCTATGAGTTCGCCCTCAAATTCAAAGGCAAGTCAGCGAAGGGAAATTAATTATATTCATTGAATGGAATCTTTTAGATTTTTCATGATATTTTTTTTTTCGATTCTCAGTGCTGTGCACAGCGCCAAACAAATATACTGTGGTTGATTCTACGGGAGCCGTCAAGCCACAGTGTTGCGTTGACATGTAAGTGAAGTATCTCCCCTCTTGTCTTCCTTCTATTCGGTTGTTCATAGAGCTGACGTTTCATTCTGGACAAAGAAAAAGGGTCATTTTTTTCCACCCCCATGTCTACACAGAGTGATCCGACACAGAGATGTGAGGCCGTGCCACTATGGCGTTTACGACAAGTTCCGGCTGCAGGTGTCAGAGCAAAGTCAGCGGAAAGCTCTGGGACGCAAAGAGGTGACGGCTACGCTCCGTCCCTCAGCCTCGCAGGAGCCACACAGCCCCAGGGCCCAAGATGAGGAGAGGCGGATTAAAGAGCAGTTTGCAGACAGCGAGTTTTATGAACAGACTGCATTTCAGACAGGTAAGAAGCAGTTACGATATATCACCTCTAGATGGAGCCAAAAACATTAAAACGATCCTTTCATTGCATGAACGCTCACTTCCTGGTGCTTTCAATCATCTAGACATCTGAAAGCATTTTTGTTAGGCATTTTTTTAAATATATTTTCACACATCTGCTGAGGTAGACAACAGGTGTTTATATTGAAATTACGTATGAGACAAATAAAGCCTATATAATCAGTGAAAGCTGTAAAATAATATAAAGTGAGCATGTATTTGAACATTTTCTAATAAATAACATAAAAATAAATGCTACATTTTAAAGTCTAGATTAAATTTTTAAATATATAGCACATTTCAACAGTTCTAGCTGCACAAAGTGCTGACATGCAAAGTAGCAAAGAGTTAAAAGAAAAATAAATCACAGATAAAAAAAAAGATCGAGCACATAAACTGAAAAAGAGCTGCTAAAACTATCAAAACAGCCACAAACACAAACGACACAACGGATAAAAGAGAGGAAATGTTTAAGAAATGACATTTAGGTCATCTTGTACTAAGAATCAGTACATTTCGATGATTTTAAAATGCTCCAGATTAGGTGCACATCTAATGTTAACAGGCCGGAGGTTCCAGAGCCACAGCAAAGGCTCTAATTCCTCAACACATAAGTTTAGATCTCGGAATAAACAGCGTTATCTAAGCCGTAGATCCCATGGTTCTTTTCGGAGCATGAATAAAGCGCAGCTCAGGTTGGTAAGAGGGTGCAAGACCATGCAAAGGTTTATAATCTGTAAAATTCATTTTCATTCTATAAGAGGCAGAGTGGATTTTGTCTTGAATTGAGGAGGTAAGTGAGACATGTTGTCAATGGACCAATTCAATTTATATTTAAAATAAGAAAAAAAATTTGCATTGTCTTATTTCAAGTGGATATTATCTAATTATCTTATTGCAAGAATAGAAATACTCATTCCATTGGCAGATCATCTTATTTACCTACTTAAATTTAGGGTAAATACGCTTAAATTAAGACAGTTTTTACTTATTTCTGGCACTTAAAGAACAGACAAAGATAAAGAGATCGTTTTGACGCTCCAGTTATCTAATATTTAGCTTTCTTCAATACTAAAAATCAACACAGGCTTTAAGCTGCACAATATGTTACACTGCTGCAAATGTACCTCTTTAAAAGCAGCGGTCTGATAATGACATAACTACATTTTTCTACTAACACAATTAAAAAACAGGTGTAAACAAACATTTCCATTGTAAGAAAAATAAATAAATAAATCCAAACTGTAATTGTAATAAATAATTTATTACTGGTAAAATGAATTTATTTAATTAGAAGTATTTTTCTAGGCTAATGCCACGTTACCATGGGCATGTCTACCTGCTGAATGTAACCTCTTTGAAACAATCAGTAAATAACTTTATCTGATTAAAAACAGCTTTATCAAGGCCGACGCTCACTCTCTATTATTGTTAATCTATGACTCTCTACCAATCTCCCGTGATTGGGTTTAAATCAAATTAAATTTGTGGTTTCTATTTTGCGGCGTAAATTGTTAGCCAGATTTAGAATGAGAAGCAGGTAGATGAAATAGATAAAGTGAGAAAACACACCCTGGGAGATTATTAGATTTCAGTCTGTAAAAACACCTTTAGAGACATTTAAGGTTTCCTGTGGAGGTTTAACTGATCTGAATGTCTCTTTTATTTCTCTCTCTGCACCTGAAAATCCTCAGGATCCCATTACAGATATTGTGTGTAACTTAATTTGGGCCCCTTTTCATGCCCCTTTGTTTTAGTGAGGGAACCCACTTTGAGGTTCATGTGGTTGTAGCATTAGCAACATTAGCTGTTAGCCAAGGTTTGTTACACAATAGGTAAAAAGTCACAAAGTAACCACATGAACTGGCGGCCTGCAGGTGAATCCCTAATGAACCCCCTTTTGGGGTATCAGCAAGTCACGCTAATGTTAGCATCATTCTAGGAATGCTGAAAATACTGGAGGAGAACCAAAATCACACTTTTTGGAAAGCTTGCACTTATTTGCTTTTCTGGTTTGAACAAAGACCCACTTTCATACTTTTCCCCGGCAATGTTAATTTAAAGATAACACCAGCACCCTGGTGTTAACATAAAAAAAGTCTGATTTCCAGCTGCATTATGGAGCAAGAAAGTTCCGGGGTCTTTCTGCATGGAGTTTGCATGTTCTCCCTGATCATGCGTGGGTTCTCTCCGGGTACTCCGGCTTCCTCCCACAGTCCAAAAACATGACTCTTAGGTTAATTGGCTTCTCTAAATTCTCCTTAGGTGTGAGTGTGTGTGAATGGCTGTTTGTCCTGTTTGTCTGTGTTGCCCTGCGATGGACTGGCGACCTGTCCAGGGTGAACCCCGCCTCTCGCCCGTAGACAGCTGGATATAGGCACCAGCACCCTTCGATGGATGGATGGATGGATGGATGGATGGATGGATGGATGGATGGAAGGAAGGAAGGAAGGAAGGAAGGAAGTTGCTTCCAACTTAAATAGATACTTCCAAATTTTGTCAGTCAAGATGTCACACTTAAGGAGGCCTGAGTAGATATCAACATCCTAAACCATAACACAACCTGAAATGTAAAAACACATAAGAAATATTTTCTTTTAAGCATGACAACTACTCATTCAACCTATAGCAGATCTGTATTGTAGTTGGAATAAATGTTTATGGGTGTGTTTTGGCCAAATAAATAAAAGCATAGGATCTGTCTGTAATTTACTGTTACTGTTTAAACCCTACCAGTCAAATGTTGCTGTCTGAATTTCCAGAGAGTCGTCCTGTTGCCGGAGGACCCAGTCTGCTCACCGTGCTGCTGGGACTTGTATGCATGATCGCCCTCATGCTCCCAACCATGGGGGAGCAGGAATCCACTGTGCCTGTCTACCTCCACTTAAGTGTTAACAAGAAACTGGTAGCTGCTTATGTTCTTGGTAAGATTGAAAAAGAAACCTCAAAATAATCCCAAAATAAACTTCTTTCTAAGCATTGCCTTTTGTTGTTTGATTACATCTCAGGTCTTCTAACTATGGTCATCCTACGTACATGAAGTCGTTTTTGTGCTGAAAGGACGAGGATGAACAGTTTAAACCAGAGGAACGACTGCGCTTCCAACGTGTCGAGCTGACGTTGGCGTGGACGGAGCTGACAAACACATTTGATCACATTGAATTCAAATACGCATTGTGTTTTCTAAGCTGTTACAAAAAAAAAAAAGGAAGATCTTCAGACTTTCGCCACAGGCCTGAATGAGCCGGAGCGTAGCCATCTCTGAACACCCCGTGTGAAGAAAAACGGTCCAGCGTCCCATGGACCTACGCGCATATTTTTTTTGTCATGTTATGCCATTGTGTAACGCAGTAGGGTTAACGTGAGTGTGAAGAAATCGACATGCAAACGTGTATATAAAGCCATTAAAACATTGTCATGAACATTGCCCTGTAACTGTCTTTTAATGTTTTAAAAGTTTCCTAATGTAAGACTGAAGATGCTGCATTTTGGTGCACTTGTTGACTACTTGCTGTCCAGATACTTTTTATGCATCACCAAAGAGCTTCAAGATATATCAGAGCTCAATAAAGTGTTATTACAGATGTACTGTGGTGCTAGTAGTTACAGAATACTACAGAGAGAACAAACCATGAGGATTCCTCTGGTTATGTGTGTATGTCTGTATGTTTTACTTGTTTATATTAATTTAAATGTCCACAATTTTACACTTAAAGTCGTAGAGAAGTCATATTTAAATGTCAAATCAGTCCGGCCTAAACATGTAAATAATTGCACTCTTTATCAAGGACCTTAACCAAGTTAACTTAACCAATGACCCCCCTGAAAGTGAATGGAATGGTTTGTCCCCATCTTGACGCAACTGTCAGTGATGGTGTGCAACGGTCGGCATGAATGACACAAATTAAAGCACATATTTATTACTTAATTATCCTTCTGATGTAGTTATTACCAAAAAAGCCTTCAATTGGACTTTAAGGGGAAACTGTAGCCTACTTCAGTCTGCATGGAAATGAGAGATTTTATCAAGATAAACCTCGAAATAATCTGAGTAAAAAGACACTCAACAATAGTACATAGACCCATTGTTTAGAGCAAAGGTTGACAAGTATAGACAATATTAATGTATGTTTACATTAAACCAAATCAATCATCAATAAATAATATATTATAAATGATTAAATAAATCATTTATCTACGACTTTATAAGGTGGTCACTGAAGTCAAATATAGGGCTACCTTTATATTATTTTAGATAAAATTTGTCAGAATTCTATGTAATCAAACAATCCACTTAGGAAGCAACACTGATTGACATCTGCCTATTATTCATGCTGCTATGCAAATAGAATAGACAACAGATTGAATTGGTAATCATTAAGAATCACTGAATGAGTGGTTCTATAGGTGGGGACCACACACCACTCAAAACCTCTGCTTTCAGCTGATGTTTTGGTCACTTTTAAATGTTGGAGGTACTCTCACATGTCTTTTGGCAAGAGACGGACTCTGCAGCCCACACAAGTGACTCAGGTTGTTCAGTTGATCCAGGATGGCACATTGATTCGAGCTGTAGAAGAAGGTTTGCTATGTCTGTCAGCATAGTGTCCAGAGACTGAGACAGGCCAGTAGACCAGGAGATGTTGAGGAGGCTGTAGGAGGGCAGCAACCCAGCAGCAGGGCCGCTACCTCTGCCTTTGTGCAAGAAGGAACAGGAGGAGAACACCCAGTGCCCTGCAAAATGACCTCCATTAATGTGCATCTGTCTGCTCAATCTGTTAGAAAACACCTCCATGAGGACGGTACGAGGGCCTGACGTGCACAGATGGAGGGGTTGTGTTTACAGCCGAATACCGTGCAGGACGTTTGCCAGAGAACACCAGGATTGGCAAACTGACCAATGGCGCCCTGTGCTTGTCACAGAGGGAACCATGTTCACACTGAGCACGATGATGGACGTGACAGAGCCTAAAGACACCGTGGAGAGCGATCTACTGCCTGCAACATCCTTCAGCACGACAGGTTTGGCGGTGAGTCAGTTATGGTTGAACTTCTAAATTAAATGAATTCATTTTTGTGGGTAAAAGTGAGGATATTGAAACTTCTCTTTCCTACCACCACAAATTAACATGTTTAATTCAGATGGTGGCATTTGCATCAGATTAAAAAATTAAGTTTGAGCTTTAACAAAATAATGAAGCGCCCCAGAAAGGTTTGGAACAAGGGGTGAATGTGAAGAAAAAAGTTTTTGCAAATGCAAGGTAGAGGATCAGTGATGCTGTGGGCCTAATTCTATTTTAAGTATTCAGAGGAATTGTAAATTCTATTCATTAATTCATTATCAAATACTGGAATTAAAACAAAAATGTAAGCTGAAAATGGAATAATGAATAACCTTTGTAAAAGTGTGATTTAGAAATGCATTTATAATCTGATTTATGAATTTTGTTTTTTTAAATCTCAATTAAGAAACAGGATCTGAAAATACAAATTCCAGTATTTAATTATGGAATAATATAAAAAAAAATTACAATTCCTTTTTAATAATTCAATTTAAAATCAGCAAGGCTTTTCAAATTGCCCGATTTGAATTTTTTGGGGTTTTTTTTCCAGTGACTCTAGTTCCTCCATAGATGTTAACTTGTTAGACAAATCCCTGCATTGGACACAGAATCACAGAAACCCATGAAATGATTGTGTGAAAATAAGAGAAAAAAAGTCGTTGAGTAAAAGATTTTAAACCAAACTCTTCATTAAATTAAAAAAAAGGGAACACTTACAGACTGATTTACAATCAATTCACTTTGCACATGAACATTTAAGGCGACAGAGCAATGCAGGTCAATGGAGCATCAACACAGGAGAGTACGGACACAGGAAGCAGGAGAACCAATGAGCAGTTCTGGTGCAAATATCCCAGTGCGGCTTGAAACACTGCAATGTTTGTCTTTTCCTCTCAAACGAAGAAAACCTTTTACATCCTTCCTGCTCAGGACCGGGACACAGACCGGAGCACAGCTGGGCATCCTGTGCAACAAACCTAACATGGATCTAAAGCAGCATCAGCAGCCTCTGAATCTCCAACTGCATTCGCGCCGAAAGGTCCAGCACCCCGCTTATCTAAATTAGGTGGCAACCTATTAACATTCAATCATACCAATTTAATTTTTTCATAAATAACACTTTGCCAGAATAAAGGCGGAATCTTTCAACACATTCCGGACTTCAACCCCTCTCATCCCCTTAAGGGTAAACAACCACATTTAATCAATGATTTACTGTGAGCTGTATTATCTGCTCCTTCTGGCTTATTATGGTTGGGGAGTGGCGGCCTAGTGGTCAGGGCATAGAGCTTGGAATCCTGAGGTCCTGATTTCCACTTCCACTCCCACAGACTGCCACTCTGAGTTTCTGAGTAAAGACCCTTAACCCCACACAGCTTCCCTGGGCATCCCACAATGGCAGCCTACTGCTTCCCAAAGGGGATGGGTTAAATGCAGAAGTTAATTTTTCAAATGTGAGATCAATAAAGTTCCAATATTACTTTTTTTTTATTATTTAAAAAGGAAGTAAATCTCAGAAAAAGAAAGTCACCACAGTTCACAGCCTATGATCAAAAAATATTCTGAAAATCCTCTCCAAACAAAACAGAAAATCTCCAGATGCACCCTGGATGAAAACTCCGGCCTATTCATCTCACACTCAAACTATATATATATATTTTTATATATATATATAAACTCACTAGATTTATATGTACATACTTACAAACAAAGCAGGAAAACAATAAGTTAGATCTTACAAAATCAGCAGACTGTACATACAAAGGCATTAGGGACGAAGTTTACCAGCACACAGACACCATCAATGTCCAGTGCTCAGTGTCTCTGAGATGGGGGGACGAGTAGGACACAAATGGCAGGACAGCCAGTTATACACTATAGGACAATGCAGCTGAGCACCATCTAGGATGGTCAATAGCAGCTGGCGCTCACAGTGTTCAGTCAGCTTCACTCCCACCACCTCGCCGTGGCTTTTCATTCCTCAACTCCAAACTATCTACACCCTCTGTGAAAGTCGCCATGACAACAGTGGTACAGAGGCAAATAATGGACGAGTCCATGTAAACTAAATGCAGGCCTAAAAACCAGGGGCTGGGGGCTTTGAGAAGGGCGATTCCCCGTCGACAGTGGAAGACGGCGTCCCGCCTCCGAAGCTCTCGCTATCGATTCACTTTGGAGACAAATCCTGCAGGGAGGTAAAGGGCGAGTTGCTAGACGACGAAGGCGACACGCCCTCCATTTTACCCGGGGAATCCGTGGAGGAGCCGATGCTGCTGAGACTCCCATCCATTAAATCTGGAGAGTTACTGGAAAAAAACAAAAAAAAACATATTTATCAAATTGAAAACACTTTCTTTTATGAAGCCTTCTCAACCAAGTTATAAAAAAAAAGTAAATAAATTCTGGACTGTAACCAATAACTGCAGAGCTTAGCAACCTTTGTTTCTCGGGGGAAGGTTTGGCTCCATGTGGCCATTGAAAATGGCTCTTCCCAGTCAAATGGCAGCCGACTCCCAGCCACTGGAGGGACTCCTTCTCCTGGGCATGCATATATTTTTTTACTCCGACTCCACCCTTTCACTGAATTACAGAATCAACCAGGAGAGGAGCCTAATCTTTAGACCTTGATGTCCACAAATTATGACAAAGAATATTTTAGTTCAAAGACTGATGTTTAAAAAGGGAATTTTAGGGGACCAGTGAAGGGGTCCATCAAGGAAAGTGAGGACATTTTGAATGGTTACTACTGTATTATGCAGGGATGCTTGACGGAGATTAGAATAGAATTTGAAAATAGATACATAAAACATACAGCCAGTTACAGAGGCTAACCAGCTGACTGAGGAGGCACAGAATGTGGCAGCTTTGCATCCAGGGTAATTACATATAAAAAAAATTGCTGACAACCTATTACTGTGATGAGCTGATCCACTTTTTTGCACTTATCTGAATAACTGAATCATGATTTCTGATTATCTGGACACCAGAGCTCTGGTTGCTTTAACTTTATCATTACTGTTGATTCTTTATTAGAGGCCACAATAAACCCCTCTACATAAGTAATTATTATAAGTATGAATGTACGTATTAGATCAGACGGTCCATGTATTGTTATTTCTTTATCAAAAAAACGTTGGTCCAAAATGATCTGCTATTAAGCTGCGGTTGGTGCACCTTTAGCAGAAACAAACCCACTCATTCTTATCTTGATATACTGTATATACTGTATATATATATATTGCTTATTCTTAATGCACCTTTTTCCTCCCTGTTTGCACCTTCTGTAACTTCCATGCCACTATGTGACGAGTGAATTTCTCCGCTGTGAGATCAATGAAGCTCATCTAATCGAATTCATCCTCTTAAAATTAACAAAATGTCTCCACTCCTCTTTAGCTGCTCACTAAAATAAGCAGCAAGTCTACCAACAGCATAAAAACACTGCCGGCTTGCAGAATTTCAATGAATGGCACTTCAAATATGATGATGTACCAAATATTTAAACTAGATTGTTTGTCACAACCTAGTGCACATTTATACAGCTATGATAATGATTGGAAGTAATGTTCAGCGCTACAAATCAACCTCTAAAACTGTCGTTCATGTCTCAGTCAGGCGGATATTTTCAACAACTTCATGTTCAAAGTACTGGGAAGTGATCGAGACCTATTTGACTGTACAAGGAAATGTGTACGGTTTGTAACCAACACAGCATTTGTTTACTACTAACCTTCAATCCAATGAAGTTAGTTTCATCACAGATCTTTTCTTGTATCCCACTTTTTTAAATGAAAACCCATCCATGTACTTTAGTCCCATTTTTTCACAACCAAATCCAAAACTTTTCTAAACATAAATTTTAAAGCTGGATTTGAATATAAAATATCTATTATGTTCCATTTTACATTGATTGTGGTTTTCTGGTGCGGGACCGGTCCAGGTGTGGGACCATAATGTCCAATAATGACAAATTATGGGCTCCATCTCCCCCCCCTTTAAAATAAACCAAATAAATTTTTTTGCAGGTTTATCAGTGTGGTCTTTGCTTGAGCTCCAACATGTAAATCCTTTTCTGAACAGAGTATTATTGGATCATTACCAGGAACTGAGGTCAGACAGGTTGGACACATCTGACGACAGCATGGTGGTGGTACCCTGGAAGAGCCTCTTAGGTTGGCTTTCAGTCTCCATTTCCCCTGCAGGGTAAAACAGACATTTCCAGAACGGTCATAAGCGATATTCAATAGGGGAGAAATTTCTAAATTCGCTGGTCTGACTTTAACTCTGGACAAAACATAGATTCTTCTCTGTACATGTTGATACTCTCGTTTCCCAGAAACAGCTGTGAAAACATCAATATAATCGGATCTATTCTAAAAATAGTTTCTATTCATTAGAAAACCTTTTAACGTTCAAGAAAAATTCTTCTATCTTGTAAAATCCAACTAAACGGCACTAGGTTGTCTTAAAGAAAAAGAAAAGGGAAAATTCGATTAACTTTTCTTAGAGGTAGATTTTCTTTTTAGACTTTAAAGAAAAACATTTAGTACTTATAGAAAGCGTGTCTCACCTTTGCGTTTAATTGGGCCGAGGATGCTGGCTCTGATGCAGTTTATTGGACTTTGGCTCCGTCGGCTGAAGAAGGAAGGAGCACAAAGCAGTTAAATCACAGTTAGCAGTAGAATTGATCATCAGCAGGTTAGATGCTGACAGGAGTTTGGTCGTTAAGCAGCTCCATTTAAATACCGTGGTCCTAAACAATCACATTTAATTATTTAGTTGCTGTCAGAAGTTGCAGGACCTTCTGAAGATCATTAACTTTGGTTCAGGATTGGATGCAAAGCTTGTATTATGTCCTTAACTCTCTCTGACATTGTTGCAGACTGTAAAATATGTAAACTTGCAAAAACCAACATCAGTCACCATAACTTAGGCTACATTCACACTGGGGGTGTAAATAATCGTTTTGTATCGATGCATCGATTCGATGTATCGACACGTACGCAGGAGTATCGATTCATGTTTTTTTTCCTCCGGTCTATTTTTATCCATTTGCTCCTGGGCGTAATTCTCCCTCCCGTGCTGTGGTGGCGCTAAACCAATTTTGCCCTCCTACCTCACTTCCTGGTTATCCACCTGCAGCAAAGTGTCGCAGTGACCTTGACACGGACATTTTTGATTTATACCCAATATTGATGCTTGGTCTGCGCTATACGCTGTGGGTCTAGATATGGTCGAGGTGGAGAGGAAGTGGGGGTGAGTTTTTCCAACAACGGAAGGACATGAGGGGGAAAAATAGCGGGGATCCAGGAGGAAAAAGGTCCAGCGTTCTCACGCAGCTCGCTCTTCTAGCTGGTCCAACTTCACGAGTCGTTTTCCGCAATTTCGGTCATAAAAACAAAACAAGCCGGCCTCCTGTCTGCGTTCACCTACAATTTGGGAGAGGTGCAGCGGAGTGTCTGCGGAGGGGGCGGGACGTCTTTTTGTTCACTGCGACACCTACGCAGACGACTTAGTTTCGAATTATAAATCAGCCTTAAGACTAAATTTTAAAAAAGATGACGAAATTAACACTACTCAGTACAAAGCATCCCGGGATGTATCCGCCTCTTCTGAGGCCTTTATTTTCTACTCAAACTTTGTAGACACTTTTTCCTCTTATGACCCTCGGCCATTTTCAAAGAAAGGTGAGCTTCAACGACTGAAACCGTAGCTCACCATAGATAAACGCCTGAAAGTGTGCAGGCGTGGAAAAAGATAGCTAACGGGGGACGAGCATGTACGATGACCTTATGTTAACATATCACCAGAATGATTGACAATTAGGAGGACCACTTATTGAGATGATCCACCCGGAAATAAAATACCTCTATACCTTTAAAAAAAATAAAATTAAATTATGAAAAACTGTTATATACACCTTGACCAATCCAAACTTGAATATTTACTTCTGGTTACAATGCCAACATGGATGTGAAATAGTTCTGCTCTAAAAGGAAGAGTAGGCTGAAGTCTGGTGTTTACAGATTCTAGCAGCTCCACAATAGAGCTGAGAAATGGTTTCAGATTGAGGCCGAAAACGGCAAAAAAAAGGATTAACACAAGTGGAGCTTTTGAGTGTTGGTGCCAAATTGAATAAGCAAAAGGGTTCAGATGCGATTTTATTGTTTGCTAATGCTAATCATTAGGATTTGTTTGTCAGGAAATCTGCTGACAAATCGAACAGATCTTGTTCCAGCCTTTCCCATGGGAAATTAAATCAAGGTTTTAATTATACAATGATGTTTTTTCTTTTCAAGAAAAAGCCTCCCGTCCTCAGAGCAAATCTCTCCACAAAGTGAAAGATTAGGGCGATGGAAGGGAGGCCTTCCAACCATATAAATTCAGATCTTAAAGATAAAACGTCAAAAAACACAAAATAAAAACCTGCAAAATAGGCGATAAATTACAATAAGATTAGTTTGGTTGCTTCCATGAAAAAGTTTTTTTCACTGATTATCAAGAGAGGTATAATTCTTTTTCACAATGTTTTCTTGTAATGAAATGAAATATTTTTTTGTTTTGTTTTTTAAACTCGGATATCCTTTTTACATAACTATCCTTTTTACATAACTTTTTTTAACCTTTAGAGATGCCTGCCTCATTTCCTGGAAAAACAGAAAAACCTTTATGATAAATCTAGATCTGTTAGGGCTACGATCCATTCTGGGCCTGACTCTACATGCCAAGATCTGGAACCCCTCTGCCACTAACCGCCATGTTGGTTGGAGAAGTACCTCAGAAACGGCTCAGAAGGTTTGACAGAAGTATGTACTTGATAGGAACATTTTTAAGAACATCGCTATTTATTTATCTTTTTTGTCTAGAAGCAGTGACGATTCTGGTTGCTTGGAGGTGAATTTTCCTACCAAAATGGCGGTTTTAGGTGTTTGGTTCCCTTTTAAAATGTGTTTGAACTTTATATAGAGCTTCTATTCCTTTCATTGATGATGGTATGCAAACTTCAGAGAACAGGTGTAATTTAATGAATAACATTCATTAAATCAAGGTTGGATTCTTAGCCAATATGAAAGCAGATTAGAACATCTCACCAATGTTTATGACTAAAAACATGCACCGACCTGAACCGCCGTGTGGGGCTGGGTACTGGGCTGGGCGTTAGGCCGTTGCTGCTGACGAGGATTTGTAGGGAAGGAGAAAAACACTGCTTCTTGAAGGATAGTGGAAAAACAAAACACAAGAACATGGGGATGAGGTCATCAGTGGAGCAAATATCTGAAAAAGGTTTAGAATAAATCTGCTCTCAAAAACAAGCAACGCACTGATCCATTTTTCACTCCTGATCTGATACTTGAATTTGGACCCCAAACTGTTTGGTTTAACGTGGTCATCATTAGTGTAGATTTTTATTTAAATAGGTTGCCAGAGAACTCTCTATACAGGCAGTATAAAAGGTCAAAAATGGAAGTCAGTAAAACAGTAAATCATGTTGACTCCTGTCCAAAAATGAATATTCAACAGTAAGGCTTCAAATTGAGTGTTTTTATTATATTAAACACAGATTCCCTTAAGCCAGGCATACATTGTACGATTTTTTTGCCGATTTTCCAGTCGTGCGAGAATTTTTTGATCAGGCCGACTTTTAGCCTGATCATGCGCCCCGTGTCGTGTTGTATACAGGAGGTATGACGGGCGATTATCCTCTCACAACCACCTCCCGACCAGGAATCGGAAGGTTGGTAGAAAAATCAAACATGTTTGAAATTCCATCAGCCGTCATAAAGGTGTTCGTGGACAAATCCTGCTGTTGAAGCAGAGCTACGAGCCGATTTACCTCAACCTCGAGCATGGCGCATGTGCAAACAAGGGAGTTGTTGTTCTTCCTACCAAATTGACGAGTCCGACCAGCGCCATCTCTTGGCGCCGAGTCTGACGCGTGGTGTTTGGATGTGCAGTTTGAGCAGGTAGATCGCATCAGAGCGATGGGTCGCACAGCGCATCGTGAGCTGTGAACGTTAAAACCCTACAGTTTGAGCTGTAGCTGCGTGCAACGATTTTTAAAAAATTGCATGTGTGTGCCCGGCTTTAAAAGGGTTAAACTCTCCGCTGCTCGATTTTTAAGCAAACTTATATGCCTTATAGAAACAGAGTGAATAGATGGGGGCCATTTTAAAACAGATACCCACACTGGAGTTTTCCTCAATATGGGGACCAGGAAATGAAACTGAAGCCGATATTATATCTTAAAGCCACAGAAAAACAATTATTTCAGGAGAACCTTGTTCAGCAATCTACCTTTTTTCCTATTCCTCTGGTTGGTGATGGTGCGGGCGACACAGGCACAAAGTCAATCCTCTTTGGAGACGAGGAAGCAGACTTCTCCAGATCGTTGTCACTCTGTAAATCCAGCAGTATCAAATGCTCAGAGAAATATCTTCACATCTATAATAAAACAACAGTTTACAAAATAAAATAAAATAAAATAAAACTACTGTGGGAGCATTATACTACCAACTCAGCCTGGACTTGAAAGGCTGGTGGCCCTGTTAACTCCCAAATGTTTGGGTGTTAATCTAGCATGCTTTTACTCGTCCCCACTACATTCATAGAGTGAGGACCCGAATGGCCTTGGGCCAAAGCATGCCTGTCAGAAAATACAGCTGTGCTCGGTGTGAGGAACGCCCCTAAAATGCAGCAGAGCAACAACTAAAGATGTTTTTACCAGGCTGAGGCTTTCCTCCCAAGACTGGCTCATTTGCATGGCAGCTTGAACTTCCCTGTGTGGACAAAAAAAGGGTTAACTATCAAGCCTTCTACATAAAACAAATTCCATGACCCCCCAAATGAAAGGATCATACCTTTCATGAGCAGTTTCTCTGTTCATCACATCCACTCCTTCTTCCTGTAAAGATGAACAAGAGAAGCCATGAATAAAAGGTCATCTTCTCAGCCCATTTAGATGCACTCAAAGCTCGACCATGCATGAAAATTTAAACGACGACAGGAATCCATTTTAGAAAACTAACGTACATAAGCACATCTGGCATCACGTCAAAAACATGTCAACCTAAAGTAGTGCTTGGATGCAGAATATGAGGCCCCTAGATCGGAGGTCTTCAACAGGGGGTCCACTGAGGTACTGAATGGGGGTCGCAAAAGTTTTGGTTGATTAGACTTTTTTTATATTCCCCCTGCAATTTTTTCCACTAACTGAAATGTCTTTAAATACACATCAACGTGAATTCAACACACTGTAGTAAACAAATAATTGGAGGCAGAAGATGTCTTTCAGTCATCAATGCACACATTCAGCGACACACAGGAGCTCTTTGAAGCAGGGCACCGTTTCATTCACAACATCTGTCCCATCAATGAGGAATCAGAATCAGAAATACTTTAAAAATCCCAGGACACAAACACTTTCGTTACATTACTACAGGCGTCCCCAAAGTCGGCCCTCGAGGGCCGCTATCCTGCAGGTTTTAGAGGTTTCTGTGCTTTAGCACAGCTGATTCTGATAAATGCAGCTCAGCAAAATCCTGTTAATCAATCATTAATATAAATCAGCTGTGCTGGAGCAGAGAAACCTCTAAAACCTGCAGGACGGTGGCCCTCGAGGACCGACTTTGGGGATGCCTGGATTACTCTATCCGTAATAGAGTGACTATAGGACCAGTTTGATATAACACATTTTCATACAATATATATAATGAGGGTGTCCCCGCTCCATCTCGCCATCAGTTTGGGGTTCCTTAGCCTGGAAAATGTTGAAGACCCCTGCCCTAGATGATAAGGAAGCTAACATCCAGCAGCCCCAAATTTCTAAATACTAATAACCAAAGTCTTTGAAACACCGGCTCATCTTTGATTAGGATTACATGCTGCTTACTTGTTTTATCTGGTGAAGCCTGGTACTGGGGACTCGGATGGGCGACGAAGGGACCTGCATAAGAGGGGAGAACGTTCAGTGCTGTGTGAATCAGAAAGAAATGGCAACATTTATGTCCTAATTGCAGAAATGTACCATATTAGGTCTGTGGACAACTGTAGTGCTGTTCCTGCGACAACGTAGCACCTCTCTTTGGAAGACTTGAGTGTTATCACTGCAACCATAAATCAATATGTTAGTCATCTTGACATAGTGATGTTCCTTCAAAGTGATTCAATGAAAGAAGATTGCTTTAGAAGAAATGTGATCAAACTGTTGGAGAACCTCAATCCATTAATCATGGGTGCACTGTTTGATCTCCTCAGGTGTCCATCGTTTTGGACTAAGGCAGCTGGGATTTCCAGATCCAGCTCCATCTTTTCTTGTGCCATGACTCCGGAGTTGTTCATTCTGCTTCACTGTGCTACCCGTCAGGGATTCATGAAGCTCAAATGGCGGCCCAGCTCAGTAACGCTACATCACTGACCCTCAAACTGCACACTTTACATGTTGGAAATTAATTCGTCCACTCAATCAAACCGAAGTCGACATGAGAGAAGCCAGTTAACAATATAGAAGACCCAAAGCGATACACAGGGGCCCTCTCCTCTATCAAACACCTTAACAATGGTTTCTAAGCATGACAGTAGTTTTATGTCCTGTATATGCCGCCCTGATCACACTGTTAAAACGTTGCTTATAATGTTGTGAGCAGTCAAAAACTTTCCTGATGGATGGTTAGCATGCCGTGGCTACATACCACACAATGCCCAGTAGCTGCTAGCTGCTGACCCGTTAGTCTGCTGGTGAAAGGCGGCAGTCTCAGCGAAGAACCGAGTTGCAAAGGCGCTTTACCTCCAAACATAAAGCAGATTTAGCTAAGCTAGGCTGCTAGCTGTTTCCTATACAGCCCCAATGCTCATCAAGTCTAATGTGGACAGCGTGAAATGAACGACGCTGCTATGAAAAGACTGCCATACCTCCTAGCTAGCTCAGTTCAGCTAGTGTTCCACTCATTTTTGCTACCCAGATGGTTTGGGCTACATAGCCGGAGAAGCTAACTAGCAATGTTAGCATTGAAGTGCCATCACTGTTCCTGTGAAGTTTTCTTCCGCTAAGCTGCTAAACCACTTCTGCGCTATGAACCAGCTAAATCCTGCCTACCAGAAAAAAAATGTCTCCCTTAGAATATATAGGATTATTTATCCTGCTCCTGCAATATATGTATCGCCAAGGTTGAACCAGAGAGTCTCTTAAAATTATATTGGAGCTAGGTGTTAGCAGGGAACTTCACGCCCCTTTCGACGTCAGCACGGCTGACCAATAAAGAGACCTCCGGCTGCCGGTGTGACCGACAGCAGGAGAGAATAGGAGCTACGGAAGAGGATTAGGGCCAATGAAAAAATAAAAAAGTTTACTGATTTTTGAATTTTATTTTAGTTTAATATAGGAAAAGGGTCAACATTCAGACTTTAATCTCAGAATTCTGACTTTAATCTTTGAATTCTGACTTTAATCTCAGATTTCTGACTGAATTCTGACAGCTAACAAACATGTTAGCATCAAGCTGTAGCCATGTCTGTTCTAAAGACTAAACTAGCTCTCTTGTTTTAATCACCTTCTGTTCTTCCACTAATGAAATAGCATCACTGGAG